ACGATACAGACCACGTAAATTACTTAGTAGAAGTACAAGTAGTAGTATATAAGTTGTATGCGGTAGCTTACCACTGGTAAGTGGCGCTTGCTCGTGGCCTTCCTGCTGACAAGAGTGCCAGGCATCCTGCTTAAAGCCAACGGCCTCTTGTGTACACTGGAATGAGTGTTGAACTGAGCTGAAGGCTACGGTAAACAACCGAATCTTCGTCACAATATAACTTTGTATGAGTTCATGTAGGATAGTCGTTTCTCACCTTTGAGCAGCTTATTTGACAGTGATTGGATGCCTGCGATGGAAAGACAGAAAAACATTTGAACACCAATCAACTAGCGCTTATATTTTTTTGTTTGGTCCTAATTTTTGATGTGATGTGGCCCTATATTTGCGAACAGAGGATGTATTAGTTTATTATAGTAGTTAGGAAGAAATCCGTTTTACAATCATTCCCCATCAGTGACAATTCTCGGACCCTAACTTCGTTTTAGAAACTGTCGAATGAAAGTGACCAATCTGTAGTCACAGTTGTCAAACTCATTCCTTAAAATGCTGTCGTGTATTGAAGTGGTGCTGCGTTCCCACGCCAGGCTTAAAGACGCTGAATTTGCATCATGGATGGTGTCTAGCTTTCTCGGGCCCCCACCCAACATGTCACTGAGAGAAGCCTGCTCCACAGGTTGTATCCGGTTGTTAGATTGGATATGGATATCGAGCTGTACTTCAGTAGCTGACAGAGTTCCCCACTGGACGCTCACGAACTATCTGCGATCGGATCGTTACTACTACCACTACCAATTCACGAAATCGCTGGAGGTGGCAGCAAATCGAGGCGACTTGGAGGTTGTGAAGTGGCTGGTTGTCCACTTCTCTGGATGTGAAGCGCCTGCTAGCGTTGTTGGCGCAGCTGTGATCAAGGGTCATCTGTCGGTTGTGAAGTATCTGTGGGTTCACTGTCGGTATATCAGCGCCGAATGTAACAAGAAGAGGAAGGTTGTTGACGATAAGGGACAGGTTCTTGCTGAAAAACGATCCGAAGAGTTAATTAAGCACAACGCAGCTGGAAACAGAGTCTGTTGGGGGGATCGTATCGTACTGCTTGCTGCTGAACATGGACATTTTGATATGGTACGCTGGCTCTGTGAAAACACTTTGGGAGAAGAGGAGAAGTATTATGAAACCTATGACAAAGTGATGAAACATGCTCTCAGATTTGGCGACGATGACCTGACCAAGTTCCTGTTACCGCGAGGCAGATGCATTCTAGACTACGCAAAAAAATGTCCTCGACTTGAAGTGATTGAACTGTTGCTAGACTGTGGATATCTACGACGAAACGAAGAGGCAGCAGCAAGTGCAATAAGAGGTTTAGCTGCTGGTGGCCACTTGGAACTAATGCAGCAGATTGCGCTGTTACATTCACCACTTCGAGAAGATTATACACATTGGGGGTTCAATAAATTACTCGACAATTGGTTCATGGCATTAGTCGACTCGTGCAAGTATGGACAGCTGGAAACCGTTCAATGGCTTCACCGATATCCAATATGCCAAAGAGCTATCAAGATAGTGAAAAGACGTGCACATATTACGATTCCAATGACTGAGGCGGCTGGAGAAGGTCACTGGAACGTCGTGCAGTATCTTTGTGAGCAAAAA